CAATGAGTCATATATAAACTATAAACTACTTGGTGTTTCATCGTTCAGTGACTTATATCTGTATTTGTCAGCTTCCTCCACATAAAAATATTGTTTGGGGGGAGGACAGCTGATATTATAAGAGTTCTCTAGAGTTTTGAACTGTGTGGTCTTTTCATCATGCCAGATTTCTTCACTTAACATTGCAGCTGTTGGATCTAGTAACTTCAATATATGAATGTACTCTGATTCATGGTCCTCAGATCATCAAACTAAATTCTTTTCTTTTAAAGGCAGATTGGAAGCTTGGTGAACTTTTGTTAATATTCTGAATTTCTACTGTTGTCAACATGCATTATACAATTACATATTATTATAGTGTTAATTTCCTACTAAAATATACATACCCATGACTAGCATGTTTTAAAATCAAAAGAGGAAAGAGAATCTTAATATCTATTCCTAAAAGTAACAATGTCATTTCATTTGCATTTAGAAAAAATGTAAAATAAGCTGAATATTTACAAGACATGGAGTTGTTAACACATGAAACCATCTCTCACTTTGCAGTGTTTAACATAAAGAACATACCATGTGTTTCTTTGTACACATCTGCTAAAAGAAAATGTATAATGCAGTGACCCTGTTATATTTTCTATAGATATTTCAAGCAAGTGATGAAAGAAGTCTGACCTAGCAATATCAGTTCTAAAAAATATTTTCCTTGGTCCTTATTTTCAAATGTTAAGGCCAGATCTATTTTTTTTTAATTCTCCTTCATTCAGCAAACAAGATATTTTAAGTCTTTAGGCTACTTATCATTTATTTGTCTATGCAGCTTTTGATCTATAGCAGGAACTGAAGATACCTTACATTTATAATAAAACTGTCATGGTTCCAACAGACAGAGACAAATAAAGCAGAATGCAGAGGCTTGGAAATTCCTCAAAGAACATGTTTATTAGTTACAAAGTACCGGCACATGAAAAGTGAAATCAGGTCTGAAGACGCATGTAAAAATTCCCCAATACAAAGTTAAGAAATCCCACCCCTAAGGCTATGCAAGCAACTACATTCCCCAATACAGCTTCTTGGGGGGCTTTTCACGAAACGCCCAGCCTGCAGTCTCGGGAGCAGCCAATGACCTTGGTTCCCACAGGACAAAGGTTTATTTTGAGTAGTGAAGCTCCTGGCAATCCCCCCTCCCGTCTTTCGATGTGTCAACCGAAAATGAATAAGGAAGATGGCTGCAGCCATGCTCATTTTCAAAGTTGACAATTGGCTCCCCATCAAAAAAAAAAAAGAGTCTCCTGCAGGGAAAAGAAAAAGCAGGTTAAGCATTCCCTCCAGGCTTGTGAGAGTATTTATTATAAAACTTTCTTATCAATCTATCTGCTTTCACATTTGTACATTTCACCCAATAGCTTCTGAAAGGGGGTAACCTTTCCACTGAACAAGGTATTGTAACTTTCCCTTGTAAAACCTAGCATTGAGAAGTATGTTTTATTTCATAATGTATCTCTCCCTCCACCACCATTGGGGCTTCTTTGGGACAGGTCTCAAAGAGGATTCTGACACAGGTTTCAGTAGACTGAAATGAAACACAGAGCAAACTTTCCCCAACAATCATGGTAGTTTCAATTCCACTGTGACAGGGTTAATGATCTTAGTGATAGGAAAAGGACCAAGGAATTTTGGCCCTAATTTTCTACTAAGCAATTTTAACTTTAAATATTTCATTGAAAAATAAACTAATTGTCCCACATGAAAAGGTTTCTGAGGGGAACGTCATTTGTCTGCTTGCTCTTTGTAAACCTTGGTAGCTTTGGTCAATGTCTTCTTCACATTGACCCAAACCCTCTGGAAGGATGTCATCCATTGGTTCAAAGTCTGAGAAATAGGAGGCTCCTTTGGATACTCAGTTATGGGCACAAAATCCTGACCCGTTAGTATTTTAAATGGGATGAGTCCAGTGCTATTGTGCACTGTATTGTTGTAGGCTACTTCTGCGGAAGGCAGGAGGTCAGACCAATTAGTCTGATGATAATCTACATAGCATCTGAGGTACTGTTCCACCATAGTGATAACTTTCTCAGCAGCTCCATTAGTATTTGGATGAAAAGCTGATGATAGCCCTGGGAGGACCCAATCATTTTAACGAACTCCCTCCAAAATTTTGCAGTAAATTGGACCCCTCTGTCAGAAATAATCCACTTTGGGTGACCATGGAGTCAGTATATGTGCTTCAAAAATAGTTTGATTAGCTTCTGGGAAGAGGGAAGTCCCGAGCAAGCGATGAAATGTGCCTCTTTGGAAAATAGATCAATCACAGTCCATATTACAGTGTTTCCCTTGCTCTCAGGTAATTCCACTATAAAATCCATGGCTATCTCCTCCCAGGATTGAGAGGGATCGGCCACTTGCTGCAACAAACCTGGTGGTTTTCCAGGATGCCTCTTCATGGCAGCACAGGTGGCACAAATCTTAACATAACTCTCAATGTCCTTTTTCATTCCTGGACATCAGAATTGCCTTCGCACCAGATGCAATGTCTTTAAAAAGCCAAAGTGACCCACTTGCTTAGCATCATGACTCTGTTGCAATGCCTGGAGGCTGAGGCCATCTGGGAGGTATAACTCAGAACCCTTCCAAGCTAGCCCTTAAGGTTAATATAGATTTGTTATCTTTAAACCAGGCATCAATCTCAAACTTCTTCTTTAATTCCTTTAGTGAGCGATCATCAGGACCAGCAGGGGGTCTCTGTGTTTGTGATCTGGTTGTTATTTGAGAAGTGGATTGCGGTGGAGGAATAATGGAGTTAATTACTTCCTATTGGTTGCTCTTGAACTGGGGCATTCTAGACAAGGCATCAGCCAGAAAGTTCTTACCTCCAGGAAAATATTTTAAAGTGAAATTAAAACAGTTGAAGTACTAAGCCCACCGAACTTGCTTGGGGGATAATTTGCGGAGGGTCTTGAGAGCCTCCAAATTTTTGTGATCATTCTATACCTCAAAAGGTATTTCCTCCCCTTCCAAGAAATGACGCCCGGTCAGCAAAGCCCAACGAACTGCAAAAGCCTCTTTCTCCCAAACAGTCCACCTCCTCTTGGTGTCAGTTAATTTCCAGGAAGTGTAAGCACAAGGTTGTAACTCCCCTCTGTGATTTTTTTGTAGGAGAACGGCCCCCATGGCCACATTGCTTGCATAAGCTTGAATGATGAATTGTTGTCCGGGGCCAGGGTGTTTAAGAACTGGTTCAGCTGCAAAGAGTCTCTTTAGTTTTTTGAACGCTGCCTGGCACTCTAATGACCATTGCAATGGCTGACAAGACTGACACCCTCATTCAAAATCCGATACCCTAGATAATCTAAGCGGGTCTGGTGAAATTTACATGTTGACAGCTTTGCATACAGTTTGGCTTTCAACCGTCTCTTTAATACCTCATGGACCATTTTGTTGTGTTCATCCATGGTTTCAGAGTAAATAAGGATGTTATCAAGATAAACCAAAACTTCCTTGTATAAATGATCATGGAGCACTTGATTTATCAATTGCATAAACAAAGGGGGGGGCTGCAGTCCAAAAGGCATCACTTTAAATTGGAAACTCCCCAGTGGGCAATTGAACGCAATTTTCCACTCATCCCCCTCCTTGATCTGGATCCGGTAATAAACCTCTCTTAAATCCAGCTTGATAAAGATTTTTCCTTTAGCCAGATGGGTTAATATGTCCTTTATCATGGGGAGGGGGTACATATTATCCATGCTGACAGCATTGAGGGATTTAAAATCCATGCATAATCTAAGAGAGCCATCTTTCTTTTCCTTGAAAACATGGGAGCAGCCATGGGTGATTTGGCTGGCTGAATGAAACCCCTAGCTATGTTTTTATCAATGTACTCTCTCAGTTCTTTCATCTCTTTGGATGTCATAGAGTACATCCTTGGTTTAGGGAGTTTGGCACTGGGCAGAATTTCAATAGCACAGTCCGTAGCCCGGTATGGTGGGAGGACATCACATTCCTTCTCACTAAATGCTTCTGCCAAATCATGGTACTCAGTGGGGACAAATTGAATCCCTGGCAGCTTTTCAGTTACAGTCTTTAGGGTTTCACAGGGCTCCCCTTGCATCTCACAGATGGCTAATGTCTTTGTTTTATTTTCAGTGTCAGATGGAGGGGTTCTGTCCCCAGTCTTAATTTCTGCATTCCATGTTTAGAATGTTTGGATGCCATTTATCCAACCATGCTTTTGTCATCTTCGGCACCACCACAAAACGGATGATTTCCCAATGCCGACCCATTTCCAAATACACAGATTCGGTTAGGTGCATGGCAGGGGCATCTCCAATGAGGGACCCCTCAGCCTGCTCAAACCTCATGGGCAGGAGCAATAGCTTAGCTCAGATTCCAAGTTTGAGCGCAGTGGGTAAGTTAATTAAACACCAAGTGCAACCCGAGTCTATTAGTACCTTCAAACTCATGTGAGCCCCTGTTTGGGGCACTATCAGCCTGGTGGGAATGGCAAAAGAGGGAATGGGCTGACTCACCATGGGGTCCTCCTTGCCTTCCTCGTCACTGTCATACGGTGCCGGTATCTGCTGTGGCTCAGATTGGGGTTTGGCTTTGAGCTCGGCGGGAGGGGAGGCTTCGACATCCAGGCCTTGATGTCCCCACTTGATTTTCTCTCTTGGCTGGACTCTGGGACTGGCATCCCGAGGTCGTGGCAGCAAACATTGCTGAGACACAGGACTTGGTATCACAGCTGGTTGGGGGATGGATGAAGCAGCATGGATTCCGGCAGTTGGTTAGGATCTCCGGTGAGGGGGGGAAGAGATGGGTAGTTCTTGGCATTTTCCCCTATGGCACCCGCATCCTGGGGAACAGGAATTATATCCTTTACCTCCAGTTGGCCAAACTTCTCTTTCAGCTGTTTGAGTGAGGGGCTGTGGACTGCAGACTGAAATCTCCACTCACTGGAGTCGTCCCATCCCATCGACCTCTTTCCTTTTTTGCATCCACAGATGAAGAACCTGGGACAGCAGCAATAAGAACTCTTCTCCAGCAGTTAGAGGAGTGCTTCTGCAATGAGGGGCAGCCTCAGCTTGGAAGATGTCTGCTATGGCTGTAGCTCCTTCCTGCGGTGCCAGTTTCACAGGTTGGGTCAATCTAGCTTTCAGCTGAGCCCTTGCCAGTGACGTCTCCTTGGTGTCTGTGCTCCGACAGCCTGGGTCCAATCTCGAGTCTTCGCTGAGTCTTTACCGCTCTCCCAAAAGTGAGTGGGTAGGCGGTCAGAGCCCAGCACTCCGAGAAAATGAAGTTTTAGAAGACTTGGTTTAATGTCATAGTTCCAACAGACAAATAAAGCAGAACTCCGAGGCTTGGAAATTCCTCAAAGAACATGTTTATTAGTTACAAAGTATCAACATGTCAAAAGTGAAACCAAGTCTGAAGACACATGAAACAATTCCCCAATACAAAGTTAAGAAATCCCACCCCTAAGGCTATGCAAACAACTACATTCCCCAATACATCTTCTTGGCGGGCTTTTCACGAAACGCCCATCCTGCAGTCTCAAGAGCCGCCGAAGACGTTGATTCCCATAGGACAAAGGTTTATTTTGACTAGTGAAGCACCTGGCAATCCCTCCTCCCTTCTTTCAATGTGTCAACCAAAAATGAATAAGGAAGATGGCCACAGCCATGCTCATTTTCAAAGTTGACAAAAACATTATAAAATAAAATACCAACATTTCCTTTAAAAATAGTCAAAGAACTAAAAAGATCGGGAGGAAGAGATTTCCAGGTTTACAATAGTACTCAGAAAGCTTCAGCAGCTAATTCACTTGAAGGCCACCTGGATTTCAGGATGAAAAGGTCATGATGATCTTAGACAAGGCACTACCAAAAAACTTTTGCTTTTCATAACAATCAAGGAAATATAACTGCTTAGCACATTCAAAACAATGTGATACATCATTTATAAAATGGAAACTTACAAATCTTGGAATATTCTGTATTTTGTACTATGTATGGTAGTATCCCTTATTGATGATCAGTGTTAGTATTAATCCTTAATGACCACATAGATGGATTTTCTCCAGGAGGAAAAAAATATTTTAGAGATGGAGAAATGAAGCAGATATTCTATGTTTTAAATTTGTTGGACACTCAACCCCAAAGTTTATGTCAAATACAGAACCTTTGTGCCAACTATAAAACAGAAAAATTGAATTGTTTTTGAAGTACTTATCATTATCAAATATCATTATGTAAAATTATGAAGATTAACATGGAATCATCCTTTTCCTCCAGATATTATTGAGAATGGAATGGAATGGAATGGAATGGAATGGAATGGAATGGAATAGAATAGAATAGAATAGAATAGAATAGAATAGAATAGAATAGAATAGAATAGAATAGAATAGAATAGAATAGAACTGGAAGGGACCTTGGAGGTCTTCTAATCCAGCCCCCTGCTCAAGCAGGAGAACGTATAACAGTGATGGTGAACCTTTTAGAGACTGAGCCCAAACTGCAACCCAAAACCCACTTATGTATCGTCAGGTGCCGTGTGTGTATGGCCCATTGGGTGTGTGTGGCCAAATGGGTGGGCGTAGCTCATTGGGTGTGCGTGACTGCGGTGGTCATGGCAGACTGGGTGGGCATGGCTGGGGTAGGTGTGGCCACCTCAATGTTGCTCGTGGGGAGGGATGCCTGTGGGGCCAGGCAGGTTGGGGGAGATCCAGGGTGTCTCTGGTGAGTGGGACAGTGGGCAGAATGCTCGTCCTGCGGGGTGAGGCGATGCAAGGCAGGGGGCAGGGCAGGGGTGCCATTGCTGCAGGGCAAGGCAAGGCAGGGGCAACTGCTGCCTGACACCATTGGCCCTTGCACACAGCCTGCCAGCGCCTCGGTTTCGGCACGACGTGGCTGTTTGCCTCAGACCATGGCCATTTGCCGCCTCGGGCGTCGCACCCACCCCCATTGCAAATCTTTCTAGAAACTCACCACAAAGGATGCCTGGAACGAAGGACACCAGCACAACTCCTAGAAGCCAGAGGGGCGCTTCATGTCAGCGGCACTGGGCAGGAGGTAGCAAACAGCCGTTTTCAGCATGACGTTTGCCGCCGGCCGCAGCCATTTGCCGCCTTGTGCATCGCACCCACCCTCATCGCAAATCTTCCCAGAAACTCACCGCAAAGGATGCCCGGCACGAAGGAGACCACCACAACACCTTGGAGCCAGAGGGGCGCCTCATGGCAGCAGCATTGGGCATGAGGTGGCATGTTTCAGCATGACACAGCTGTTTGCTGCATATTGCGCCCAATGCTGCTCCAATGCGGCTTGGCCAAAAGCGGCAGTGGAATAAGTGGGGCAGGTTTCCCCTTCACCTGCCCATTCAGCTACAGCTTTGGTGGCTCTGCCTATAGAGACCAAAGCAGCAGGTGGACCAGCGGAGGCTTGGGGAGGGAGGGTGCTTAAGTGGGCAGTTGGGCCATTGGCAAGAGCAACGCGTCTGAATGGAAAGTGGCCTTGAACAAGTGGGGCAGGTAAAGAAAGAAATCCTCGCTCCCCCCAGAAATTGCCTTTCTTTTCTTACCTGACTTCCAGCCCCATCCCGTTTCTCCTTCGCAATCCGCCGTTGCATGCAAGGAAACAAAGGAAGTTTTTTGGGGGGCGGGAAAAGGTCAATCAATTCCAACTTCTCGTGAAAGATCACAAAGTTGGAATTGATTGATTTCTGACCTTCCCCCCCCCAAAAAAACTTCCTTTGTTTCCTTGCATGCAACGGCGGATTGCGAAGGAGAAATGGCACGGGGCTGGAAGTCAGGTAAGGAAAGAAAGGCAATTTCTGGGGGAAGTGAGGATTTCTTTCCTTACCTGCCCCACTTGTTCTGAGGTTGCTTTCCGCTCAGATGCGTTGCTCTTGCCAATGGCCTGACTGCCCACTTCAGTGCCCTCCTTACCCCAGCCTCCGGCTCTCTCATCTGCTGCTTTGGTCAGCCTGCCGGCCCCCACCTCAACACCCTGCCCACTGCTGCCCAGCACGGCCGCTCTGGGGCTGCAGGGGCTGGCTTGGCATGGGAAGGGCACGTGCCCCACCCTCCTGCCACCATGCAGGGTAAGGTTGCCACCCCTGCCTCCGCCCAGATGCCCTCGCTTCCCCCAAACATTTTTTTTACTAACCTGCCTTTCAGCTGCATTCCATTTCTCTGTTCGCTTCTCAGCCTTCGCCACGTATTTGTGGAACTATTGGTAAAAAAAAAAAGTTCCATCAGACTTTCTAACTTCTTGAGATCTCGCGAGAAGTTAGAAAGTCTGATGGAACTTTTTTTTTTACCAATAGTCTCACAAACACGCGGCAAAGGCTGAGAAGTGAACAGAGAAACGGAATGCAGCTGAAAGGCAGGTTAGTAAAAAAATGCTTGGGGAGGCGGGGGCAGGCGCAGCAACATTACCTTGTGCGGGTATTGATGCAGGTTGCTCATGAATGGGACTGAAGGCCTAAGACTGGGGTGACGGCGTGCGTGCCCATAGAGAGGGCTCTACGTGCCACCTGTGGCACGCGTGCCATAGGTTCGCCATCACAAACCTATATCATCTCAGACAAGTGACTGTCTAGCCTCTACTTAAAAATTTCCAGTGATAGAGCACCCACGATTTCTGGAGGCAAGCTATTCCATTTAATTGTCCTAATTGTCAGGAAGCTTCTCCTTAATTCCAGGTTGCTTCTCTCTTTGATCAGTTTCCAACCATTGTTTCTTGTCCTGCCCTCTGGTGCTTTGGAGAATAACGTGACCCCCTCTTCTTTGTGGCACCCCCTCAAATACTGGAACACCACTATCATGTCTCTCCTATTTCTTCTTTTCTTTAGACTAGCCAAACCCAAGTCCTGCAGCCATTCTTCATATTCTTCTCCAGGCCTTTGATGATCTTAGCTGCTCTTCTCTGAATTTTTTCCAAACTCTCAATATCTTTTTTTGATATGGTGACCAAAATTGGCTCCAGTATTCCAGGTGTGGTCTTACTAGGATTTTATAAAGCAATACTAATACTTTGCGTAATCTTGAATCTATGCCTCTGTTTATATAACCCAGGATTGTATTAGCTTTTTTGGCTGCTGCTGCATACTGCTGGCTCATAGTCAAGTGATTGTCCACTAGGACTCCAAGGTCCCTTTCACAGTTACTGTTTTTAAGTTTGGTCTCGCCCAATCTGTAGTACCTTTGATTTTTCCTGCCTAAATGTAAAACTTTGCTTTTCTCCACATTGAAACTCATTTTGTTGGATAGGGCCTATTGTTCAAGTTTGTCAAGATCTTTTTTGATCCTGAGTTTGTCTTCTGGGGTGTTGGATACTCCTGCCAGTTTAGTGGCATCTGCAAATGTGATGAGTTCCCTTTCAATTCCCTCATCTAAAGCATTCATGAAGATACTAAAGAGTACTGGGACTAATATGGAACCTTGTGGTATCCCATTACTTACTTCCCTCCATGTGGATGTAGTGCCATTGAGGACTACTCGTTGAGAATGGTTTGCCAGCCAGCTACAGATCCATCTGGTGGTAATGTTGTCTATTCCACCTTTTTCTAGCTTTCCAGGAGTAGGTTGTGGTCTACTTTATCAAATGCCTTACTGAAATCTAAGTATACTACGTGCACAGCATCTGGCTGATCTGCTAGTTTAGTCACTTTATCAAAGAATGAAATAAGATTGGTTTGGCTACAAGTTATAACTTTGTTTGCTCCTAGTTGTTTGCAGATCTGTTTTTTGATTATCTTTTCTAGGATCTTCCCAGGTATTGATGTTAAACTGATTGGTCTGTAGTTTCCTGGGTCTGTTTTTTTTTTTTCCTCTTTCTTGAAGATGGGAACCATATCAGCCCTTTTCCATTCCTCAAGTATTTTCCCGGTGCTCCAGGATTTTCTAAAGATATGGTGCAGTGGTTCTGAGATAACATCTGCTAGCTCCTTCAGGACTCTGTCGAGTCCCGGTGATTTATATTCATCAAGGTTGGATAGGTATTCTCTTACCATTTTCCTGCTTATTTTAATTTTTGTTTCTAGTTTGTCTTTTGCAGTGGTTTTTTGGGTATGTTGGGCTGTAGTTTCTTTTTGTGTAAAGACTGATGTAAGAATGAGTTAAGCAGCTTTCTGTTGCCTGTTATTTCCTTGCCATCTTCTCTCTTTAACGGACCTATAATTTCCTTAACTTTTTTCTTGTTGTTAATATGTTGGAAGAAACTTTTTTTTTATTATCCTTGATTTCTGCTGCAAGTCTTTGTTCATTCTGAGCCTTTGCTTTCCGGACTTCATCTTTGCATGTTCTGGCTGTCTGCTGATAATCGACCTTAGTTATGTGCCCTCTTTCCATTTTTTGTATTTGTCCTTTTTGTCTTTCAGTTTTTCAGAGAGATCTTTGTGCAGCCATGCACGTGGTAAAACCAGAATTTATACCGAAAGCAGTGTTTCTCATGCAATTTGGAAACAGAATATATTTTATGCAATTTGGAAACAGAATATATTTGATTGGACCATAACTCCTTTAATTTCTCCAAAATTCTTTCTGATAACCAATGAATTATTTTTCATTACAGGTTTAACATATTTTCTTTGACAAGCATCAAATGTAGCCTTTCTATGAACCATTTGTGCATTCTTGCTAATGATCTGATTATTCCTAAGTTGTATGGTATAAACTTAATGAAAGTATATGTATGAGAAAGATTGCTGGTAAATTAGTAAGCGTCTAACAAGACTGCTATGTTTCCATCTAGAAATTCGGGCTCAGCTAACAGAACAACAAAAATGCCTGGAGCAGCAAACTGAGATGAGAGTGCAGCTTCTTCAAGACTTGCAAGACTTCTTTCGTAAAAAGGCAGAAATAGAAACAGAATATTCACGCAGTCTTGAAAAGTTAGCTGAAAGGTTCATGGCAAAAACAAGAAGTACTAAAGATCATCAACAGTACAAGTAAGCTGAGGTTTCTTATACAATTGAAGGCTAAACTAATTTTCAGAATCACTGTGCAATCAACCATGGTTTGTCAGACTAGAATTGATCTTTTGGCTTCTTGTACTGAACCAATTTTTCTAAAGACATTCTAACCTTTTTAAAAAATAGATATTCTCCATGAAATCTGAACTGTGATCAAAAGATGTCTTCTAAATTATAATGTGAAAAAAATCATCTTATTTCAGTCTCATAATCTGGTTATTAATATTGTATTCTAGACTTAACAAGGAGTGTGGTGAAAAAAACAAAGTATATGAAAGTAGTATTTCCTAGGCAGATTATCCAGATATGTGATTTGCTCCTAGACTAAGTCAAGTTATATTAAACTAATACTATGAATCTGAATACAACTCAATTGTTCCATTTGTAAATGTTTTTCATTTGAGAGTTTCATGTTTGTTTAATTTCAAGGGTTTTTTTATTAAAATAGCAATATTTATCCTTTTGTATTTTGATTTTTAATGTACATAATCACTTGAGAATTTGGAGATTTCAACTACTTCCCTGCCTTTCAAATCTTGGAATATTCTGTATTCTGTACTATGTAATATCCATTATTGATTACTAGTGTTAGTATTGATGCTTAGTGACCACATAAATAAATTTTCTCCAGGAGGAAATAAACATTTTAGAGATAGAGAAACGAAGCAGACATTCTGTGTTTTAAATTTGTTGGACGCCCAACTACAAAAGTTTATATCAAATACAGTGCCTTTGTGCCAACTATAAAACAACAGCAAAATTTGAATTGTTTTTGAAGTAGTTATATATATGAAGATTAATATGGAATCATCTTTTTTTTTCCAGACATTACTGAGAGTAAAACCAGAATGTCCCTGCTTGTTTCATTTTTTGTGCCACCTAGAGAGTAGCTTTTCCAGTTTTATGATTAGCTTTCCACAAGGAACTCCTGGATGTCCTGTCCCTGAATTATATCCTACATTTCAAACTATAGCTCTGAACTGTAAACATTAAAGCATACCGTCTGGACAGGGCCTTGTTCGCTATTGTTTGTTGACTTCTTGCATAGATATGAATGCTACTGATAAAAGCAGATTTACAGGATAAATAAATATATGTTACCTTTTAAAATGGCACATAATTATTTATGACTTTATTTAAAAATGTAAACTTAGAATTTGATCTCAAGCCTATAACCTTTAAAAAAGTTTAAAATCTCAACTGTCAAATATGCACTGGAAGGCTTTACTGTGCTTTCAGAATGCTGATTTCAGCATTGACATTGTGCTTAATGAATGTTAAGAGATAATTTACACAAATACAATCCTGAAAATGCCGGCTTTGTTAATGTATTTATGTAATTTAACGGTTGCAAACATTTTATTTAAGATAAATAAAACACAATGGTACTTGCAACTGATATAAACTATATAACATATGTATGCTTACTAGGAAAGACCAGAATCTGCTATCTCCAGTAAATTGTTGGTACTTACTTCTCAACCAAGTGAGAAGAGAAAGCAAAGACCATGCGACACTGAGTGATATCTACCTGAACAATGTCATCATGCGTTTTATGCAGATAAGTGAAGATTCCACCAGAGTATTCAAGAAGGTATAATAATGTTATTTCTTTCATTTTCAATGAAATAGAGTTATCTAAAAGACATAATTTGAAAACGAATACTCTGCAGGAAATTAGTAACTGACTTCATTATGACATTTTTTGCTATAAATATGGAGGCTTTTTGGTGAAAGTGACAAGAATATGAAATTTTAAATGCAAAAAAGCTAAATGCGACATGCTTAAGTATACTGTGTTATCTTCAACAAAGGGAAGATAGTCTGTAGATAACAAATCTAAGCCAATTTACAAGATAATTCTATTATTTTTTAAATACTTGGGAGAAGTTACATTTTTAATGAAAAAGGAAACCGCTATCAATTTTGCTAAAAACTCCACGATAAAAAACACTGCAGTAAACTTTATAAATTCTTTAGGTGGCTCTTGAGGATAAAACAAAGGAGATTGTAAAGTCACATGTGGGAATGAATGTGTCTAAATTAGGAATAAGGTAATTGTTCTGTTTTGATCGCAAAGGCATGGAGACGAGGCAGGAGTAACAAGCAGTATTGTCTTTATTCAATTCACTAACAGTACCAAAAACAAAATGGTGCGGATTTCTCTTATACCCCTTTTCAGGGACAATATCAGCCAATCAATGCAAGGCATTTCATGCACAAGGCGGGAGACAGCCTGTCTGGTCCCGGGCATTCACGTGGTCTGCCCGGTCTTTCTGCAGCTTCCTGCACCTGCTGAGTAACTCAGCAGGCCCAGGACATAACACCTCTTTCCCCTTAGATAAAACAATAAGGAAATACTTATTAGTTTAAATTACTACAAACTATTCCAGTTCTTCATCTCCTTTGTTCACAACAGTAATACTCAATATTTTGTACTACTATAACTTCAACACTTTTTCTTCTGAAGCATTCTACTTTATGTAGAACTATTAAGCTTCCTCCATACTTGACAGGAACCTCACATAGTCCTTTAAGTATTTGGGTGGACCCTTGGCCCACTCTGACCTTCTTGTAGTAGGTGTGATTGCCTGGTCTGCCAGCTCGCCTGCCAGGCTAGGCAGACCAGGACTTTGATGCTCCCTAGCCTCAGGTGACCCTCCATGCTGCTGACTGGCTGGATCCTCTAAACCCAGACCAAAGTTCCTTGGTGGAGTGGAATTCCCCAAGTCCATTGGTGGGGTGGAATTCCCCAAATCCACAATGGACTCCCCTTGGGAACACTATCTCGTGAGCCCAAGACCAGCAGATGGATTGGCCTGAAAAGCCAGTTGCGAGCAATGTCCCATGGACCCGGTGCCAGGGACAGGATGGCAAGACCCCCTACTGGCGCCTGGGAAATTCCGCTTTCGTGGAGAGACTGTGGCCCACAATTGTAATTGAGGTCCTCCTCCCCCCCGAGAGCAGAGCCAGGAGCGGAAGTGTGACGGCTGGGTCTAAACGTAAAGCAATGGGAGACCCCTTGTACGAGCCAAGTTCTGAACTGAACACATCAGCAAACTCCTTACAAACTTCTGCAAGGCCTGTCGTTTGCAAACTGTAAAGTCCAATCACTTGAATTCTAAGGGCCTCGAACCAATCGAGTCCAATAAGACTCGTGTGATCACCTTGCCTGCCACATGCCCGGCAAATGGCGGAGAGGAAACGGCAATCGGAGTGCTTGTAGCATCCTCCACATCCGAAATACCGAGAGAATGAGGTTGCCTTGTCTTTGCGCTCTTGAGGCCTTCTCTCTGCTGGCTGCTGTAGTCGGTCCACCTCTATCTTTGGATCCTGTTCGGATTCTTCCCAAGTGACCTCTTGATGGACAGAGATCGAAGTTGGAGGGTTCTTGGCGAGCTGCAAGGCCTTCACAGCTCTGCCCACCGCTTCTTCGGCTGCAATTTCTCTCAAGGCATCTTGGAAAGAGACGTCTTCCTTTGCGAAGATCTTCTGTTGCAGCTCACGACTTCTCAGTCCACAAACTAAATGATCCCGAAGTCTCTCTTCCAGGTCCTTGAATTCGCATGGCCTAGCTGCTTGTCGTAGAGCCACAATAAAGTCTGCAGCAGACTTACCAGGCCTCTGGTCCCTCTGCTCGAATGCGTGTCGCCATGCAATCACTGAAAGCTTTGGTTCAAAATGTTCTCACAGCATCCTTTTCAGCTCAGCATAAGCAATGGATTCAACTGGTGCTGGGGTGACCAGATTCTCTGCAATATTGAAAGTCTCTTGCCCACAGACACACAGTAGCATAGCAGCTTTAAGACCGTCTTCTCAGATTTGGTTTACCCGAAAATAGTTCTCTACCCGGGCCACGTAAGAACTCCAGCGTTCCGGATGAGCTGTGCCAAATTCAGAGAGACAGCCTAGTTTGGACATCAGTACTGCCCGGTAGCCTCGTCAACGCCTCATGCTGCAAAGGTTGAGAAGGGGTCCCTTTTGCCGAGCTCTCCTCCAGCGTTCTCATACTGGCAGGCAGAGTCGCACTCTCTGGATGCCAAACTTCCCAGTGCTTCAGGCCTCTCTTGGTGAGTCAGCCTATCTTCTTTTTGTTGTTTTCTTCGCAGCACATCCCACCTTCGTCGCCAATGTTCTGTTTCCAAGTAAAAGGCATTGAGACGAGCAGGAGTAATAGTCTTGTCTTTATTCCATTCACAACAGAACCAAAAACAAAATGGCGCTGATTCCTCTTATACCCCTTTTCAGGGACAGTATCAGCCAATCAATGCAAGGCATTTCATGCGCAAGACGGGAGACAGCCTGTCTGGCCCCGGGCATTCATGTGGTCTACCCAGGCCTTTCTGCAGCTTTCTGCACCTGCTGATTGACTCAGCAGGCCCAGGACATAACACCAATGATCTGAAATTCTGTATTTCTTACTTTAATTATAGCAAGTGAACTATAGGCTTGCATAGTTAATTACATTATTCTGTGCCTTCCATTGTTGACAAATTCGATCAGGTTTTATAATATTTTGTGTTCACTTCCAGCTAAGGAAGCACTTTGAGATGATGGCATGCCCATAAATATTTTAACCAGAGCCTAATTTTTAAAGATATTTTGTGCTTTCTGTTTTATAGGTACAAGGAAGAATAAGCATTGAGAATTTTCACAGGGCTTTGCAGCCTTTGCCCTGTTGTCAGAGAAATTATCTCTAAAAATCTATGGTACTTTCTGTTCAATAATATACCACTTACCTTAGCCCAGGGGTCTTCAACCTCGGCCCTTTTATGACTCACGGACTTCAACTCCCAGAATTCCTCAGCCAGGCATGCTGGCTAAAGAATTCTGGGAGTTGAAGTCCATGAGTCATAAAAGGGCCAAGTTTGAAGACCCCTGCCTTAGCCTATGGAAGAGACAACTAAGGGGAGATATGGTAGAAGTCTTTAAATATCTGTAGAGTTGAAACACAGAAAGAGTGAATTTATTTTCTATAAAGAGAAAGCAGGACCAGATTAAAACTACAAAAATGTTTGTAGGTTCAGTATGAGAAATTTCCTGACTTGATAGGAAATATTAAGCCAATGGAAGTTGTAAGTTCTCCAACATTGGAAGTCTTCCAACAAAAGCTGAAATGCCATCTGCTAAAGATCACTAATGAATCCTGCAATGAGTAGGTGGTTGAATCACATTTAAGGACCTTTCACACTATATGATTCGATATTAAGCAATTAAATTCAAGTTTATGTAACATGGGCTATGTTTCCTTGTCAGGGGTTTCAAATAATTACTAACAATTTTTAGATACCCATCTAGGGCAAAGTAATTACAAATTAACATTTTGGGTGGTATTTATATTTATTTGGGAGCAAGCCTTATTGTACTCAGTGGAATTTTGTTTTGAGTAAAGATGTTCTAAATAAATTTGAAATGTCACTTTGCTAATACTTTTGGTATACACTTAATATTGTCTATTTTTCTGTTTAGAAATCTATCGTTAGTCACTAAGGGAAGAAAGAGTTATATAAGCCCTCCACATTTAACTTAATTAGAATATCTTCTTTCTTCAATTAAGATGTTTACCTTAATTGCTCTATTAATTCTGTGCCAGTAATAAACATTTTTTTTACAACACACATGTACACACTTAATTTGATTAAATCTGTGTCTGCTCTCTGATTATGATCAGAGAAAGGAGCAGTTCTTCAATTTTCTGTCTATTAGAAGAGCTTTGAGGTGCTCAGTGGCTATAGGATCCAATTAACTAGATGTGCTGGCATTTACTTTTCAGCATAAATGTCAAGTGGATATTCATTAAAGCTTTTAGATCATTTCAAAGGTCACTTATTTTTTAAAACCATATTTTCCCCCTTAGGTTATTAGAACCCATAGAAAGAACTTCAGAGAGGCTTAAGCATAAATATGGCATTTCACTCTAAGAACAGTGTAGAAATATTTGAGTGTCAAAATCTATGCTTATATTAGAAAAGTGCTTGAAGTTCCTGGGTCCATAATCTTTTCCTTGAAAATTAGGGTATATTTGGGAGGAAAAAGAAGTAAGGGACAGATTTCCTTTGGATGTCTACAAGTAATAGTTAGTGAAATAAGATCCATTTCTATGCATGTTAATTGATCTTAGCCTGCACCTACCACTCCCACCAAGTGGACAAGCTAAAGTCCCCAAGTTACATTTATATGTATTACTTAATTCATTTCAATAAATAATCATTTTTAGATTAAGCAAATCTTCCAATTCTGTAACCCTTTAAAGTTCCATTTCCTGTAGGAATTCACTTATATTTTTATCTGTATTTGAAGCAGTCAATTTATACCAATCAATTTTCTGCAAATCCATGACTGTTTTTACTAGTTATTCAACTATTGTATTGTTCTTCTTCCTTCTGTTGGACTTGTTAGTTAAATAAAATTTTTAGCCATTTAAGGACTAATTACAGAATGTAAATAGTATTGCCAGTTTGAGATGCCCAGAAATTTTGAGGGTAAAAGATATAAGAAATGTAGTGTGCAAGATGGTATTGTCAGACAGAAGAAAATTAGAATGGTAGAAAGATTTAGCAGCACAGAAAGAGATGAGAAAACAATGGGATTTAATTCCAGATCTAAACAAAAATACAAAGTAAACTATTTCCATATGTATGCTAATGCCAGATATCAGTCACAGAGAGTTTGCATTGCCAAATGAAGCAAAAGTATTGCAAATTCTTGGAAAATGAACAGAATTGTTTTTATTTATTTATTAAATGTATATGCCGCCCATCTCACTGTTATGCAACTCTATGCAGCTTACAATCCAATAAAACAATATTATAAAAGATTAAAACAATAAAAGATTAAATATAAGAATACACAATCTCTCTCCCCCACCCTCCCTAAAAAATCCTGGATTTTCTCCAGGATATTACTGTGTTACCAAACATACTGTCTGTGATTCCTTTTAAAAGAATTTTCACATTTATTTAATGCAGTGGTTCTTAACCTGGGTGATATTGCCCCCCAGGGGGCGATTTCATTTTTCAGGGGGGTGATGGAACGAAAAGGGGCGACACGGGGGCAAAGGAACGAAAAGGGGGTGATATGGGGGCGATGGAGCGAGAAGTTTTGGGGACACTTTTGAGACTTTTTCGTACAGTGAATGGCTGTATATCTGTCGTACAAAAACATCAGTTTGCTTGCTATTAGTGGATTGAATTGTGTTTTCAAATGTTTATCCAGCTAGCTTCAGTACAAAACGCTGTACGTATGTGAATATGCATCGCTTATCTTCATGCGCATTGCACAGCAGCCTCTACCCATACAGTGGCACGCCATTGACCAGAATATGGGAGATATGGGAAAAAGACTGGAAATAAATTATTTGCATCGATATGTCCTGATGACAATTTTAAAGAAAACAAAAAATGTGTTTGCATAAATTGAAGAATTATTTCCTATGTTGTGATTGAGAGGTTATGTTGGGGGAGGGGGACGATGACAACTTCCTCATTGGCTCAAGGGGCGATTTGTTCAAAAAGGTTAAGAACCACTGATTTAATGTATCAAAAAACTCATCAACATTAACGGCCTACTTATAATAAATTAATGTCCTTGAAAAATTGGCAGTTGTTCTAATTGCATACAAAAGGGTTAAAAATTTGTGGCTTTCCAGTTGTTGACCTACAGATCCATAACTGTCAACCAGAATGGCCAGTGAAGAAGGATGTCGGGTCCACTTGTTACATTCTAATTCACTACTCACTTGCAAAGAATGCTAAGTTGTATAGTTTTAGTTCAGATCCAACAAAGCAGAACCTATTTTTTTCAATAAAAGTGCAGTGTCTTTACAATTACCGTGTTTCCCGAAAAATAAGAGCCAGTCTTATATATTTTTTTTTGCCTACAAAAGAGGCACCAGGTCTTATTTTCAGAGGGTGTCTTACCTTAGGACTACCACAGCCAGGCCTCCCACACCTCAACACCTGTCACGCCGCTGCTTGACTTCTTCTGTGGCTATTTGCCACCACTTGCAGATGGATGCCACATGGTGCTTCAGGCAGCTTCCGCTGCTCGCATGGTGCTTCGGTTACTTCCACTGCTTGCACGCTTTGGGCCACTTCTGCTGCTCGTGGCAGGAGGCCATGTGGCACTTCAGGCCATTTCCGCTGCTCCTGCTGCAAGCAGCAGAAAAGCCCAAAGAGCCACGTGGCCTCCTACCGTGAGCAGCAGAAGCAGCCAAAGCGTATGAGCAACAGAAGTTATCTGAAGCACCATGTGGCATCCTGCTGCGAGCAACAGCAACTGCACAATGCGCCACATGGCATCTGGCTGCAAGTGGCGGCAAGCAGCCACAGAAGAAGTCAAGCAGCGGCGCGACAGGTGTTGGGATGTGGGAGGCCTGGCTATGGTAGTCCTACTGCTAAGGTACATGGGTGCAGGGTACGTGGGGCAGCTTCACCCCCCCCTACCCCCACCCTAGCTTGATTTTTAGGGGTGACTTACTTTAAGGTTGAAAGAAAAAGAAGAAACAGAATATTTTCAAACCTGGGACCTAGTTTATCAATGGTTAGAGAAAAGATTTAGGGATTAGAAATTTAATTTGTATTAGCGAATAAGATACTCAGACAACATGTTTTTATTGAATGATTACTATTGAATTCTGTTAAAAAAATCAATAAAACTTTATAATAAAAATGAAAGAAAAAACCTGGCAAGCAATCTGTTGCCAATGGAGTGGCTACAATAATTATTGCAAATGTGTAGTACTACCAAGGGTAAACAAACATCCTTACTATGTAAGAAGGAAGGAAGAAAGGAAGGAGAGAAGGAAAGAAAGAAAGAGCCTTGTTATGAAAGAAACCTGTCAACACTCTCTATTTTGCTATGTTATGGCTGATTTAATTGTCACAGGGTAGCAAAATTAATGTTGCTTAATTGCCTTCACAAAGTCATGCAATGTGTTTTGTTCTTTGATACCTGCCCCATGTATATACATTTCTGCTGTTCATAACGCAGAACAAAAAAAACAGAAGACTATGTTTTAGGTCTATAAAAGCTTTAGTGAAAAATATTTCATCTAGTTTTTGCTTAATAGTAGTTTTAAGTTTCTTTTCCTAATAATTCCTTTTTAATTACAGAGCAAAGAAATTGCATTCCAGCTTCATGAGGATTTAATGAGGGTTCTTAATGAGCTTTACACGGTAAGCATATTTACTTGAAGGAAAGAATTGTTGACTGAAAATCCTCTTTTACATAATTGTTTACATAAATGTTTCAGTTGAGTTAACCTGTTTTAGAGTAATATTAATCTAATGATATCTAAACAAATAAGATGGTTGATTTGGATTCCAAAGACAGTCTGTATCTTTCTAACTGAGCTAAAAACTAATTGCTTTTATTATTCCTTCCAAGCCTATGAAATACTGGAAAGAAATTATGTAAAAAGCTCAGGACTCTGCCCATCTGACTATATGCCAAACAGCAGAATAATATTCCAAAAGCCTATGAAATACTGGAAAGAAATTATGTAAAAAGCTCAGGACTCTGTCCATCTGACCATATGCCAAACAGCAGAATAATATTCCAAAAACAGAACAGAGTGTGATCAAATTTGGTATGATGGGAGAAGCCAATAAAATAAATATTGAGTTTGAAAATGGCTGGATCTGGCAAGAAGCTGCAAGGAAAAAAATGCAGAATAAATGTATTGCTGGGGGAGATGGACAACTGCTCTTTTCTTAAGCCTCACTTCCTCTGTCTCTTGGTCATGTGATCAAAGATGGAGCTACTTTGAGTTGCTCTTTTTAAGGGTTGGACAGATTTTAAGAAGCTATTCTCTACATGCTTGCCTTGCCACATATAATTGAAATTATCAATTTTCCTACTTCTTTCATTTCTAAATGAGGAAGAACCAGTGATGGTTTCTTTATTTTGAGCTATCTGCTTTTGTTTCTTACAGTGAAGTGGATTCCACTTCCTATCTACCTCTTTGCTTTCAACAGCATCTTGGGATGGACTGCCTCCGTAATTAAAATCTTTACAAATCTAAAATGATCCTCCCATTTTAATGTTTTGTTTTCCTAAAGTAGTAAATTTGGCAAGGCAAATAAGCACAATGTTGTAATTGAAATTAAAAGGAACTACTTCAGAGCAGCATAAAAATAGAGGAAGTACAAAGTTTAAATTAAGAAAATTTTGTCTCTGGTCAGTGCAATATACTGATAACATACCACTAAGTATATCCATTACAAACTATAATGGGCTTGGCATTGCCGTCATATGAAAACCCTTAAACAGCAGTGTTGCTATAAATTTATGCTATAAATTTTCCACTGGGGAAAGAGAGGAAGAGAGAGATATTAGTTTGGTTAGTGACCAGATAAAGCAAATAGACCAACACTATGGATTTGAATATAAGAAAATAAATAATAAAATGCTACTGCCAAAACTTCAATTCTATGGTTCTAATTCTTCAGGTGAAAAAAAAATCTTTATTGCTCAAGCAAAAGTGCAATGAATTAACAATCTGAATATGAATATAATATGGATTGAGGCTTCCATTTGGAAACTTTGTTTATAAATCAGAACAGAACAGAATAGAATTCTTTTTTGGCCAAGTGTGGTTGTACACACAAGGAATTTGTCTTCGGGGCATAAGCTCTCAGTGTACATGCAAGTAATCAGTGCTTTTTTGTAAAAAAAAAAAAAAAAAAGGTGCCAGAACTCACACACAGCTCTGGCTCCAGTCAAAAGCCCTTTATGGAGCAGGGGGGGGGACTGCTTTAGGGAGCGTCCGAGGCACAGATCACTCACCTGGAAAAGGTCCGACTCTTCTCTGCCCCGGTTCCTGCTACCGCTCCAATCTGAGGCCAGGGGACGCGTCCACAGCCCCCTGCGGCCCAATCTGGGCTCCGGAGGCCTCGAAAAGACCTCTGCCACCCGGATCCATGGCCACGGAGTGATTTTGCGGCCCCCATGCGGCCCAATCCGGGCTCCGGAGGCCTGGAAAAGGCATCTGTAGCCCGGATCAGGCCGCACAGGGGCCACAAAATCACTCCGCAGCCATAGATCCGGGCAGCAGAGGTCTTTTCCAGGCCTCTGGAGCCTGGATCGGGCCGCGGGGGCTGTGGGCGCATCCCCTGGCCTCAGATCGGAGCGGCAGACAGGAGACAGACCTTTTCCAGGTGAGTCCCGTGTGGCAGGAAGGGAGGGGGAAGCATGAGAGCCTTAAGTGAATGCTCGTAACTCAACTTGTGCCGGCAGCTTAGAAGGAACCAGTTCTTCTGTTCAAAAAAAGGTGCCAGAACACCGTTCTGTGCGTTCTGTGACAAAAAAAACCACTGCAAGTAATAGTGATAATCATGATAATAAACAACATGAAAATACATTCATATAAATTGTATAGTACAATACTTCATCATAAATCAAAAGATGCAACACTTAGTGATAGTCATAGCATACTAGCTAAGCAAACCACATAAATCATACTAGGATACTAAAAAACAATATAAATTGTAAGATACAAACAACAAAGTTATAGACATAAGAAGATGATAATTAATAAGAAAGATGAGGAGTATCATAGTAATGCAGCTTTACTAAGTAGTTTGACATTGTTCTTGAATTAGTTGTTAAGCAGAGTGACAGCATGGGGGGAAAAAACTGTCCTTATGTCTAGTTCTGGTGTGTAATGCCCTATAGTGTCCTCTTGAGGGAAGAAGTTGAAATAGTTTATGTCCAGGATGTGAGGGATCTACAGACATTTTCACAGCCCTCTTTCTTGCTCATGCAGTATATAGGTTCTCAATGGAAGGCAGGCTGGTAGCAATTGTTTTTTCTGCAGTTCTAACTATTCGTTGAAGTCTATGTCTGTTTTGTTTGGTTGGTGTTCTAAATCAGACAGTTATAGAGGTGCAAATGACAGACTCAAAAATTCCTTTGTAGAACTGTATCAGCAGCTCCTTGGGCAGTCTGATCTTTCTGAGTTGGTGCAGGAAGAAAAAAAATTTTTGTGCTTTTTTGATGACATTTTAAATGTTAAGTGTCCATTTTAAATCTTGAGATATATTATAGAATCTAAAACCGTAAAGGTCTTTACTGTTGATACTGTATTGTCTAGTATTGTAAGAAGTTGTAGAAGGAGAAGGAGAAGGAGAAGGAGAAGGAGAAGAAGGAGAAGAAGAAGAAGAAGAAGAAGAAGAAGAAGAAGAAGAAGAAGAAGAAGAAGAAGAAGAAGAAGAAGAAGAAGAAGAAGAAGAAGAAGAAGAAGAAACAGCAACAGCTTGGAAAACTGCAAGAAAAGGAAGACCAACCTGAATGTGGCATGGATTGACTACAAAAAGGCATTTGACTCTCTGCCACATGACTGGATAATCAAGTGCCTAGAAATAACAGGAGTCAGTAGAAACATCACAAAATTTGTGCAAAGATCGATGGCACAATGGAAGACACAGTTGCAGATCAATGGTGAAAAGCTGGGAGAGGTTAATATCAAGAGAGGAATATTTCAAGGAGATTCATTATCACCATTACTATTTGTTATTGCACTATTTCCTCTGTCAACAATACTGAATAACTCAGGACATGGTTATCAAACATCAAAAACATCTGCTAGACTATCCCATCTCCTTTACATGGATGATCTGAAGCTGTATGGAAAAACGCCATCTGAAATAGAATCGCTGCTCAACACTGTCCGTAGATATAGCCAAGATATTGTAATGGAGTTTGGCTTGGACAAATGTGCCACACTTACTATCAAACAATGAAAAGTAGTGAAAACTGAAGGAATCAAGATGCCCCACGAAAATAACATTAAGAGTCTGGATGAGGAAGATTACTACAAATACTTGGGTATCCTTCAAGCTGACAACATCAAGCACACTGAAGTCAAGAAAAAGATTAGAGGTGAATACATCAAGAGAGTGAAGAAGATCTTAAAGTCCAAACTCAATGGAGGAAATATCATAAAGGCAATCAACACCTGGGCAATCCCAGTCATTAGGTACACAGCTGAAATAGTGGACTGGACTCAAGCAGAACTAAAAGCAATGGATAGGAAGACCAGAAAAATAATGACAATGAATCATGCCTTCATCCACGCAGTGACATTGACAGACTTTATCTACCAAGGCAAATAGGTGGGCGTGGAATGCTACAAGTACATCAGATGGTTGAAGAAGAAGAAATGGCTTTGGAAGAATATCTGAAGAACAATGATGAAGATGCACTGAAATTATTATATCAGGAAGGCTTACTAACTACTGGAGAGACCAAACTGGCCTACAAGAAAGACCAAATGAAGAACAGAATAGAGGCATGGGAAGACAAAGCACTACATGGCCAATACATGAAAAAAATAGCTGTGAAAGCAGATAATAATAAAACCTGGCAATGGCTAAGAGCAGAAAAATTGAAGAAAGAGACCGAGGGACTAATTCTGGCTGCACAAGACCAAGCCTTAAGGACAAATGCATACAAAGTCAAAATTGAGAAGACAGCAACAGACAGTAAGTGCCGCCAGTGCAAAGAAGCTGAAGAAACAGTGGACCACCTGGTAAGCTGTTTCAAGAAGATTGCACAGACTGACTACAAGCAGTGGCATGACAAAGTAAGAACAATGGTGCATTGGAAGATCTGCAAAAAATATCATTTGCCTATAAGCAAAAACTGGTGGGATCATAAAATAGAGAAAATCATAGAAAATGATAAAATTAAACTGCTCTGGGACTTCAGAATTCAAACAGACAAGCACCTGCAACATAACACCCCAGACTTAACAATTGTCAATAAGAAAGACAAAAAAGTCTGGATAGTGGACGTGGCAGTGCCTGGAGACAGCAGAATAGACGAGAAAGAACTGGAGAAGATAATAAAATACAAAGACCTACAAATAAAAATAGAAAGACTGTGGCAAACGCAAGCAAGGGTAGTACCAATAGTAATAGGCTTCTTGGGTGCAATCCCAAAACAACTGGAGCACCACTTGAACACCATTGGCATTGACAAATTTGCTATTAGTCAATTGCAAAAGGTGGCCTTACTAGGAACTGCTTCCATCCTGCGACGATATCTGTAATACCATCAAACATCCACATCTGCCTATCCCAGGTCCTGGGTAAGGACTCGATAGGTAGACAAAAGGCCAAATCCAGTCTGAACATCTGGCTGACTGTGCGATGATCCATAATAATAATAATAG